CCCAAAGAGCGATAACCATGATATTATTCTCTCATGACTTTTTTTTTCTTATATTCTCATGGTACATTGCAAAGAAGTTGAAAAATAAAGAAACAACTTTACGAGCTCGAGACGTTCGGGAAAACGAAAGGAGGACACGTAACAGTGAACAATCCATCGACATAAGAAAGAGAAAAAAAAAACTGAAATAAAAATAAATAAAAAAAAACGTCTAATGCTGCTTCAGGCCACGCCTACATCTCTTGGTTTTTTTTGTTCTGTTCTGTATTACAGAGCGCATGATGGACGACGGGAGCGCCAGTGCCATCTTCTGGAAGTAGGAGGCACCGGTGGCGGCCGCTGCTAAGGTAACTTCGACTTCCAGGAGATAGCTAGAGCTTCCATTTGATTAATACTTGATTACCATGAGTGATAATCAATGCCCCTCAACGCATTTACACACACACACGTACCTTCCTATCGCACTCAAAGAGGGGAGAGAAAGACAGCTGGCCTCGAACGAAATGAGATAAGATCGAATTATTTCCAATGACAAGGATGTATCTTTCGCCATAAATACTTACTTACCATTTCCGTCCTCTACCCGTGCTGCTACTCCTCGCCCTCTCGTTCCAATTAGATAGTGTCTTTGGTGAAAGTAGGAAGGAAAAGAAGAAGAAAAAAAGTACGGAAGCCAAGGAAGGGAACTTTTCCCTTCCTCTCAACGCTCACGCGTGATCTTTCTCTCTCTCTCTCTTTCTTTTTTTTTTTCCTCCTTCGTCACGCCATTTCTCACTATACCAAAGTCCATGGTCCGATTATGTCTCACACAAAAGTAACACACACGACTCACTTACTGAGCCCCTCCTTTTTTCCTCTCGTCCTCTTTTTTTTTTTTTTTGCTGCTCCTGCCTATCTTTGTTTTTTGGTAACAAGAAAAGGCGATAACACTAATCCCGTTTTCACACTGTTACTTAATTCCATGGTCCATCAGCCCATTATGTGCATCGGCGGGTAAACGACACACCTAACTTTCAATGGTATTCTTGTTTGACTAGAGATTTTCAATTAATTTTTTCTTTCCTTACGTAGTCGTGATCGAGCTTTGTTACAACCTTTTTCTTTGTTTCACACAAGTTTCAAGTCTGGATATTGTAATTTTGCATCAATTTAGTCTTTTTATTTTTTTTAAGAACTGCCATAGATTGTCCTTAGAGTACAGGCTCTCCAATGCTTTAACCTTTTTCGGCATAATAAACTATTGCAACGCTTAAAACAACGTTGTTCAATGAAAAATTGAGGTTTTGGTTTTCTGAATGTGCCTAAATATAATTTCTATGCAAAAAAAAAAAAAAAAAAAAAAAAATTTATAAGAATTTTAATAACAATCAAACCTCATGCACTCAGATGCCTCAAAGGGTTAAAAATGTGCGCTGAACGATTTTCACGATGGTCATTTTTTTTCTTCTTTTGATTAATGATTTTTGTGGTAGCAATTTTTGAATCCTCAACTTTTTTTTTGTCAAAAACAGCAACAACAACGAAATTACACACCTTGTCCTAACCTCACTTTTAACTTGAATAATCACCTCCACTATTTATTATATACAGCTGTGACCATATAGTGGCTCGCTCGTTGGATGTATTGTCTCGTTCGTTGTCGATGTTTTCTTTATATATATATTATATATCACGTTTGTAAATATTTATATTTTGTATTCCCATTATGATGTGAGTTTTATACGTACATTTACATATTTTTATATTTTTTACTACCTGCATTAACTGTATTACACCAAAAATTTGTGACCTAATGTTTTATCAAATGATTATTGGCGTCAATACGATTGTCAATTGTCGACATTGTTATTTTCTCTGCAACGAGTGTCATTAAATTTATTTTCACATATGATAACATATGCTTTATACAACTCACATGTTATATTAATATTATTTGTATACATCAATCAGTCGTTAACACATTTAACATTGACTAATTTATGCAACGTCATCGTAACGATTTTACGACGTTGATTGAATTTTCATATACTGTCGTAATGCCATTGTCTATATATATATATGATTATCATAATTATTCATTATTACTAAATATTGTGACAACCCAGTGCAGATATTTCTAAAAAAAAAAAAAAAAAAGTTCTCGCTCTCGACGTCAAAATTATGTCCGGTAAACCAAGGCAAAATTTATTCAAAATTATAAAACTTGTAAAGTTTAAAATGTTTAATACAAACCAATTGGATTTAAGTAAAAAATCAGACAAAAAGAAATACCGCAATAACCCAATCAGGCCTATAAATTTACGAGCTACAGCGAGACGACGTAAAGTATGTTATAGCTTTCGTCCATTACGTAAGTTGGAAAGAGAGGATTGTATACGTCAACGTACGAATAAACGAAGAATTGCTCGTAATGTATTGACCGAAAAATCAATGGTATCTGACCGCAGAAAAGATATACGTATAATGTTTACTCTCCTTCAAGTCGACGAGTCCAACCTACTCTTTCCAAATCGCTCTGACGAAGCAAAATAAAGAGACACAAGCGTCGAGGAAACTCGGCGCTTCTCTTTGTAAGATTTCTCTCTTTTTTTTTTTTTTTTTTTTTCATCAAAATGTATCATGTGCTATATTAGAAATAGCTGCAGCCCAGTAATTTATTTTTGATAAGCATCGCTGTCACGTACATATATTATATATTAACTTCCGTATGATGACCTCCCCCCTGCAAACCTGACTGCATCAACCTTTTTTTCGGCAACCCCATCAGTTTCTCGAGACATGTCACCTTTTGGCACCTAAGCGCGCTGAGCTCTCATTTGCTTCCTTCGTAATCAACATTATTAAGTTAAAATATAACGGGGTAGCAAAAAAATGATAGTTGGATATCAAATAACTATTGATTTGTATCTTGGATTTCTAGAGAATATAATTACTAGAGTCTTTAGAGTTTGACAGTTTTACATACTTGTATGGAGTAAAAAAATTCCTTGAATTTTAGAGATTCGGATATGTTTAAAAAAAGCTTTACTATTGACAATTAAAAAAAAAAAGAATGTTATCTTATCCAAGTAGACTAGTAGATATTTTATGAAGCTTATTGGTTCATTTATTTATTTTTTTAAGTTTTTATTCATACGTCACGTAAAGAAACTATTGATAAAAAAAAAACACCGTAATAACGTCACTACCACTTTGAAACAACTCTGAGATCCATCGTAAAAATAGAAAACAAATACCAGAAAATGGAAATGTCGTCGATGACAAGCTGATATAAATATGACGAGAGCTCGGCGCGCTCGTTAATACACAGTAGCGAGTCGCTTATCGCCTCCCGCTCGTATAAATCGCGTCGCGAACACTATGATATAGTATGCTTTTCTTCGGCTGCCATGGCTCAGACCACACGCGTTTTGACTGATCGCTCGATTGTTTCCCCGCAACGTTTTATCACCCGTCGCACAGAGAAATATTTTAGATTTTTTTTTTTATTCAAAATTTAATATTTTATAAATAAAATAAGATAGTTTAATGAATTTTTGGTCATTAAAAACTAACACAAAATGTTGAAAATATGTAAGTATTCGATTCTAACCTAAAAATTTGGGTTAAACAACTTTTCACAGTTTTCTGATTTCATTTTAATAAAAAATCTATAACTACCTGCCCTGCACCATATTTTGGAATAGTATTACAAAGTCATATTGTAATAGTATTCGAAACAGATCTATAAATACTTCTAAAAGCCAAAAGTAAAATCGATCTCAATAAGAGTGATGTACGATTTTCCTTTTAAAAAAGTAGTTCTTCATGTTTAATCTTTTTAAAGTTGAAACGAGAGTTGAAAGTCACTAAAAATGTGCAAGTACATCTAATAAGTTATGTATATTACGGAATAGGTAAAGAGGTTACATAACCTTAATTTGCAGGTTAGGATGTAATTTTACCATATTTTCAATAGTTTCCCTTGATCCCCGGAGAATTAGAATCAAGTTTAAAAAAATAATTGATTCAGCTATCTTGTTAAATTTACAAAATATTTAGTTTTCAACCAGAAAATCCAAAATAGTCCACCGTGCGATGTTTTACCCTTTTTTTGTTCCCATTTCGTCTTTTTGCTTTTTTACTTGCACTCAGCTCCATACTTAAATGATTGTTGCGGTATCGGTTGTACTTTTGTTGTAGTTACAAACGCGAACCTTATTTATCACGTGCGCGTGTCTGTGATTACACTGTACGCGCGTGCTTCCCATATTTATGGCACGTTGCAGCTTACCATTTGTACGACCGATTTTTTTTTTCCTCGTTCACTTTTGAAAAAAAAAAATCATCCACGATTCGCGATAAACACGATTCCCCTTCCTCCTCTTAACTATACTGCCCCTTAGGATGGTGGATGCTGTGGTGTAACCGTGTAACTTTGTCGTTCTCGGTGTTAGCCGCCAGATATATAAATTTATTTTTGTTCGTCTATCTATATATATATATACTTTCTTGTTTTGAAACGTCCGTTGGTTATTATATTTATATATATATATTTTTTTTGTTTTTGTTTCATTTACGTCTACTCACTATTTCTTGAATATCTAATTATATAATTTATAAGAATTTTAATAACAATCAAACCTCATGCACTCAGATGCCTCAAAGGGTTAAAAATGTGCGCTGAACGATTTTCACGATGGTCATTTTTTTTCTTCTTTTGATTAATGATTTTTGTGGTAGCAATTTTTGAATCCTCAGATTTTTTTTNTTTATAGCTGTTAACATATATATTTTTTTTGTTTTGTTTCATTTACGTCTACTCACTATTTCTTGAATATCTAATTATATTATGCATATTAATAGCGAAAACAGTAATGGCTCTTGAGCCCAAACAAAAAGAAAGGCACAATGACTAATCTTGAAAATGGTTTTTGTTTTTTCTCTTTTTTCCCCAAATCTTCTGTGTTGCGCGTCTTGTCACGCGCGTCCACGGGGTGTACAATGATGGCAACGAGCAGACAGAAAGCTGTTTGTTGGCATGCTAAGTAAGCAACAGACGGAAGACGATGTACGCCAGTTGTTTAATCCATTCGGAACAATAGAGGAGTGTACTATTCTTCGTGGACCGGACGGTACTAGCAGAGGTGAGTTTATTTATTTTTTCGCATCTTTTTCTCTTTTGTCTATCTTTTCTCACTTTTTCAAATGGTTCTTGCGCTGTACTTATATTATTTCCCGTATTTATGCGTTTCAATTTCAAAATTGATTATTTATTATTCAAATCATCTCGCACAGCTTACAACATTGGTATTTTACGCAATACGTCATACCTTGTGCTTTATATGAAAAATGCGTGCATTACATGAAAGTGTAAACGAAATCAAGTGAGAAGTTAAAACGTCAATAAAACAAGCACTTCCGAAACACGTGTTTTGCAAAATTACTTAGGTACCCCTTGTGCTCATAAAGTTGATACATTTTATTGCACCTCCAACGACTGTATTGGTATAGCCTTGAATTGCAATTGAGTAAATGTGAGTACGCGTGTATCAAAGGATATGCGTATAATCCTCGAAAACTTGCTCTTATATTAGTTTCGGACTTGTTAGACCGAAGAGGGAAAGGAACTGTCGATGATATACACGGGAATTATTCCGTGTGATTTAACTCCAGCTAAACTGCATATATTATACATACTTATTGCATCTGATGAAAACATCGGAATAATTAATGCAAAATGAATGTAGCCCCTCGAAATTGATATGCAAACAATTAATAATTTATGCGAACGATTCGGAGCCATTAAACATATGAACACTAAATTAACGTCCACATAATTACGAGGAAGTTATAACCACTGCGTGTACACATTACAAATTGAAATATGTTTGTGTATATATGCATACGGTATATATACGTTTGTTTGATATTTTGCGGATCTAATGACGAGTGGTATTTAACGTGGGTATTATTAATCACCGAGTATCTGTACGAGATTGCGCAAATAGATGGCCAAAATTAAAGTTACGTTTTAAACTAACGTGAAATTTCAATTTCCCGCGTCAGAATTTGATTGAAACTCCATCGTAATATTCGTTCACGAATCAGGAGTACAATCATGAAGAATATTATTCACTGGTAAAAAAAAAACTTTTTGTTCAGTCCTTTTGATAGCTCATGGTTGAAGCCATACTATTTGAAGGGAAAGTATACTTAAATGCCATACTTTCATCGTATGTTTTGCAATTTATTCCTTACGAACAGAATATAGAAGTAAAACAAATCATTTTACTTTTATTTTTTATTTTTAACCAATTAAATAACACTAAAAATAAATACCCATTTGAAGGCATTTTTTCGGAGTGAAATATGATAATGTTATCAAGACTAAAAAAACTTCAAATCGTTAGGTTATCCTTTGACTCTCACCTTCATCCCCGAAACACATCCTCACAGAAGGAATCTGCAAAAACGTAAAGTGTGATTATACCCTCCCTCTGCTCTACCCGTACTTACATAATATTCCTCTTTTTAAGCTCGGCAAACCGAAGGAGGAGGTTCCGGTCGTGTAAGCACACGCTGCCCATGAAAATAAACGCGATCGCTTCCGGGCAATATTGCTTTCTTTACTTTTCCCCGGGATATTGCCGACGAAGCAGGTCCTTCTTCACGAATAATAATGGTAGAAAAAAAATTGCAACCAGGGGATGAGGGATGTTTATTATTTTTTTTTTTCATGGAGCGTTTACTCGGTGAAATAAAAAGCTTGGCGGGAAATGGACTTTGAAAAGATAGTACACCAAAAATTTACGTTTGAAAAATTTTTTATTAAAAAAAAAAAAATGAAAAAAAAGAGACAAAATAAAAAGTTCTTAGAAAAACAGAGGAGAGAGAAAAAAATACGGCAGACGAACAAACAGCAAAACGCGGGGGGAAAATTAATCACGATATTCCTCGCACGGGCAAACAGTGTGTATACACAAGCTCGAAGCCCTGAAGCTTATACACACACACACACACACCAAATACCAATGCAATAATTTCCGCTCGGACGTCGAGGGAAATTCAAATATTTTTATATGCCCAAGTGCTAGCCAAAGGAAAAGCTCTCTGTATAAACTATAATATATATACTCACTCTCTATTCGGCTTAGCGAAAAAGCGCCGGTGCGTTATGTGGGTGTTATTATACCGCTATATTTCAGGGGTTATGATAGAGGTTAGGACACCGTTGTTTACACTCTTAAGCCAAATCTGTGCACAACGTATTTTTTCTAATTTGTAGATTAAATTTCCATTTTCATGAACTAATTACCCCGATGACTACTTACTGACTTGCAATGACCTACTTTCAGATATTTTAAGTAGTGAATATTCGATACTAATCAGGGAATGATTACTGATTCTATCTATTAAAGAGTGAGAAACTGACTTCAATATCATTTTACAGTGTATTGATACTCTGGACACCATTTTTCGTGAGTATCTCTATACATGGGAAAATTGAGGAACTGCATAACATCAATGTTAAGATTAAATAAATAAGGTTAAGTTTACATAATTTTTACAATCAATCGTATCAATTCAATAGAGATCCTCCTACGGCAAATGGAAAAGTTACATGGTTTTGAGACATCTTTTAGGTTGGAGTAAATGCTAACAAGGTTAGGTTAACTTCACGTCAATTTTCCGATAGTATCTCTGTGAAATCCATGTGGTTTGATCGTCGTACTCAAATATGTACGATTTCCGATATCGTGTAATACATAGAAAAACTTTTTTTGAAACATAACCTATTTTTTCCGTGAAAATCCGTGAAAACTATCACTTGTGTCTTATAAAAAAAATCATGTACTTAAATAAATTGCAGCAGAGTAAAGTGCTATAAATAAAATTTTTCCTACATATTTCTACTTGAATGCTGACATATCTGTGTGCACATAAGGCGTTGATAAAAAAAAAACATTAAAGGTTAGGCGATTTTAATTTATATAAACGACCTTAACAATTCCAGGCGGTCATCGCACGACGAAGGGACCGGAGCTTTAAAATTACTCTTTCCTGTGAAATCTCCGAGGATAATACAAAACGCCGTGGGCGGGACACGAGAGCCGAGTCTTTAATTTTCAAGGGTCGGTAATCACGGCTTTTCTCGTCTCTGCGCGCGGGAAATCAAATCGGCCGGGGCGCGCCTCGTGTCTCGGAAAATCTATTTAATCGCCGCTCCTATACAAGCCCGCGAGAGATAATCCTTTGAGCCCTGCCACTGCACTGTTATTAGTTTTTCAGATGAAGAAAGTTTCGTGAGGTTGGCATCGAAAAAAACTAAAACGTTTGTTGTTGTTGTTGTTTTTTTTTTTTTTTTTTTTCTCAAACTTAATTTCTATTGAGATTACTATTGAGTTTTCATTTTTCTCTCATTGCGTTTTTTTGTTTTAATGTATATTATTTTAATGTTTTTCGGGATCAATAAGAAATTTTAGACCACGTATCAAAACTTTAACTTTAATTTTTAAATTGAGATTTTCATCTGTGAATCATACATTTTCGACCCTGACTTATTCCTAGATCATAAATTTAGGTTGTAATTGCAACTTGAACCGCGAATCAGAAAAAATGAGTAATACTTAAAAAATTTACGTGTATTAATATAATTAATCAAAAATACACGTGAAATATTTAAAGGATGGAAATGAAAACACAATATTAATTGACTTTTTTTTCATATAGTACTTGGAAAGAGACATATAGTAAGTTAGTACAAATACACCAAAAACGCAAAACCATTGACTCCCTAACACGATCCAAATACAATCGTCCTATTGGAAGAAACTATTGTGAAAAAAAAAACGAAAAAAAAATTAAGCAAAAAAAAAGGCACGAAACAAAAAAACCTCCGTGCACCACGTCGGAGCGACCATTCGAACGGCGCACCGCGGAGCAGGCGCAGGTCGCAACAGCGGGCGTGTCCTCTTTCTCTCTCGGAGCGCGAGGCCTTGGCGAAGTGCCAGCTGGAGTCAAAAGAGAGAGAGAGGCCCGCACGCCACCTCCGCATACGCCGGCTCTCGGCCACTCAGCTACTAGCTCTCGCTGCAACCGACACGTATAGGACACACGAGCAACTGCAGTGCCGAGCCCACCTCCGCAATGCATCTGCAGGCCGATGGAGAGAGGCTGGAATTTCACGCGACGCTTCTTGGACTTCTCGGCTCTTTTCCTTTTTCCCTCCGTTCCGAAGAGTATAGGGGGGTGCGCTCGGAGGGGCGTGGTGTCGAGTTGCCCAAGTTTGGTCGGGTCCCCTCTTTGGAAGAAGTACAATTTTCTTAAAAAAAAATAACAATAATATCTCTATTGCTCCTTCGTCCCATTCGATGTGACAATAAGTGCACTTACACTAGGCATTGTTTGTTATATAGCGTGCATGCATCCGGCAAAAAATCGTGTGCTCTTGATACACCCAAAATCCTAAAGATTACACACGTATACGTGCAACCACCTGAGCTCCCTCTAGGTATTGGGGCCCGATCACTATTCTGTCAGCGAATTCATATTAAGCTTAAGCCTTTGCAACCCTCGCGAGAGAGAGAGAGAACGCGCACGCGCTCACACACCGACAGGTGTAGTTTGCCGAAAACGAGTCTTGGGAGGGAGGAGGATGAGACCTCGATACGAGAGCCCACCCGCTGATCTCTCCATTACGCGGAGGATTAGCTAGTTATGAAACTCGGGGCCTTTCCCGCGCGCGTTCGCGCGTAAGTTTCGCGAAAGCACAATATCCTGTTTGGACTTTGCGGGAGGGGTGTAGTACTGGTGGTGGTGGTTTTGGGTGCTTCTCGGAATAAGCGATCAGATCGAGTTGTATTCCCGTATAAGGCTGCCCCGTGTTATACCCGAGAACTCCTCCTCCTGCTGCTATACTTTATCTGATGCTTATAATTAGCTCGATCCCGCAGAAGTTAAGGACGTGGTTGGCTTGTTAAGTTTTTCTCATTTCCATCATGGGTTTTCATGGAGTTTGACTATACTTCTAATATATAGTTGAACCTGCACCGGAAACCAAACAACAGTCTTTGAAATTTCACACGACGAGCTGTCATCAGCTATTTAATCAGTTTCATCGAGTCAAACAGTTTGGAATGGGAAA